TCACAGGTAACTCTCACCAACTTACTAAAACACATGGGAGACAGAGTCTCAATTGTTGAAGACTAAATACTTGATACAAATCAAGTCTCAACAGATACAAGAAAATTGAAATAACATCCTGCATTCTATCTGACAAGCATGGCTTAAAGCTGGATATCAATAACAATAGAAATGGCAGAAAGTATGCAACCTTAGGGAAGCTTGAACAACTCTCTACTGAATATGGGTCAAGATTTAAATGAAGGAGGAAATTTAAAACTTCCAAGAGTTGAGTGAAAATGAGAACACAACATACCCAGACCTAAGAGACACAAGGAAGGCAGTTCTAAGAAGCAAGTTCATAGCACTAAGTGCCTACCTGAAAAACATGGAGAGACCTTTTTAGTAGTTTAATGATACACCCAAAAACTCTAGAACAAAAAGAAGAAGTAATACCCAAAAAGAAATAACTAAACCAGAGGCTGAAACGCAAACAAAAAACAACACAAAAATCAGTGAAACAGAAATTAGTCACCATGATTAAAATGAGCTTCCTACCGGGTATGTGGGAGTGGTTCAACATATGTAAATCATTAAGCACAATCCACCATATAAACAGACAGAAAGCAAAACCAAATGATCATCAATACAGAAAAGGCCTTTGACAAAAATCTAACACCCCTTAATGATAAAAGTCCAGGAAGTCTTTATTCTGGCATATAGTTTCAAGGGGACACAGTCCATTATGTCAGGGAAAGGACAGCAGCCAGAGCAAGAAGACACTGGTCACACTTTATAGTTCCAGGGGTCAGGTCCATCATGACAGGCAAAGGGGGGTGTTAGGAGTAGGAGACCAACTGGCCAGGCTTGTGCTTCTATTTAAAACAGCGCTCATTCACAAAGAAAGCAGTGTTTTCTAAACATTGGAAAGAAAAATAAGACAAGAACCATCAAAGAAAAAAAAATACAGCCAGGTGATGGTGGCCCATGTCTCTAATCCCAGCACTTGGGAGGCAGGGGGAGGTGGATCTCTGTGGATGTGAGGCCAGCCTGCTCAATAGAGTGAGTTCCAGGACAGGCAGGACTGTTGCACAGAGAAACCATGTCTTAAATAAAAAACAAGCAAGCAAATGTAACATGAAAAAGGAAAGACCCAGATATTGATATTGGGGCTTACGCTTCAAGCAGCCAAGCCACTAGCTCTTACCTCTACCTTGGGCTGAAAGGGCTGAACCTACCTCAGACAGCTTCCTCTCCTCAGCATGGATGGAGAATCAATGCCTTCCTATCCTCAATGTGGCTGGAGAATGAAAGCCAGCTCTGAGACCATGTTCCTGTCTTAAATACCTCTCATGAGTCCTGGGACTAACGGAGCGAGCTCTGTTTCTGTTAGACTGATTCAATCTCGTGTAGCCCTGAATGGCCTTGAACTCAGAGAGATCCAACTGTCTTTGCTCCTTGAGTCCTGGGATTAAAGGTGTGTGCCACCACTGCCTGACTAACTAGTATGGCTGCTGGAATTAAAAGTGTGTATCACCACTGCCTGACTTCCATAGCTGGTAGCTGGCTTTGTTTTCTGAATCCTCAGGCAAGCTTTAATAAATCTTAAGTAACATATCACCACAAACAAAAGAAAAATACAAAGGTTATAGATATAATAAAATAGATTTTTGTTAAAGAAGGTTAAAGGAAAGGGATATGATTTTTGACTTTTAGATGAGAAAGACTTTAATGGAGAAAATTTGTCCTAAAGATTGTTAAAACAGGTCAGGTGTGGTGGAGCATACGTTTAATACTAGCGCACAGGAGGCAGAAGAAGGCAGATCTCAGAGATCCAGGACAGGTCTACATGAGCTCTGGGTCAGTCAGGACTACATAGTGAGACTCTGTCTGAAAAAAAAAAAGGTTAAGATAGATAAGACAAGACTAGAAGAAGGTTTAAGTATATTGTATGTGAGAGTTAAAACATAAAGCAAGGAGACATATATACAAATGGTCATTTCATTTCTACAGTTAGAGCTCAAAACACTAAGATAAATCGAATGCCTGATTTCCTGTTTATAGCAACAAGATTTTCTCGAACGTTAATCTTTCAGTAACGTTTTTAATACAAACAACTGGCTTAAAAAAAAAAAGATTTGGGTTAGTGGGAAAGAGGACTCAAGCCGGGTGGTGGTTGCGGTGCCCGCACCACAAGCAACGCCAGGGTATCAGGAAAAGAAAGACCAGATGTCCAGCTGTTTGTACTAAGAAGTGTCTTTATTTTGCCAGTGCTGTACTAAGAAGTGTCTTTATTTTGCCAGTGCTGTACTAAGAAGTGTCTTTATTTTGCCAGTGCTAGGAGGTTTCTCTCTTGTATGAGGGAGCAGTCTTATCTATAGTCTTACAATGCAGTAGAAAAACCCCAGGTGGAAGAGAGTGTGTTTTCTGCCTGCCAGATGTTGATGTCAGTGGGGCAATGCGGGGGGCAGTAAGCCAGGACTAGAAAACAGGATGCACCTGTGGCTATCAGCTGACAAACAACTCAGAGACCCTGTGGGGGCTAGGCCCCATCAGGTGGTGGCAAATGCCTTTAATCCCAGCACTCGGGAGGCAGAGGTAAGCGGATCTCTGTGAGTTCGAGACCAGCTTGGTCTACAAGAGCTAGTTCCAGGACAGCCTCCAAAGTCACAGAGAAACCCTGTCTTGAAAAAAAAACAACAAAGAGAGAGAGAGAGAGAGAGAGAGAGAGAGAGAGAGAGAGAGAGAGAGAGAGAGACAGAAAGAGTACTTAGTGGGTAAAGGTGCTCGATGCAAGCCTGATGATTGAGTTTGATCCCTGGGATCTACAGAGGAGAAGGAGAACTGATTCCTGCAAGTTGTCCTCTAATCTTCACACATATTATCACACACACACACACACACACACTAAATAAATAAAAGCAGTAAACGGTTTAAAAAGATATTTTAAAAAACTCATGGATTTTATTTTAACCTTTTACAGTGAAACGTTTCAAACGTGTGATGAGATTTTATTCAAAAGCTAGTTCACAGGTTTCCCCATTGGGTTAGAACTTTCCCTTTCTGGAAGCCACCCCTCAGCAGTACCACCTTGATATATAACATCGTGTTGCCCAGCTTGTTTTACTGGACTAGCACCTGAATCTATCGGGAAAATTTAGCCTATTATTTATTTCCACTTGGGTTTGCGACCTTCAGTCCTCTGGATTGGTTGAGTGAACAGATGGAACTATTTAAAAAAGCAAGCAACTAGCAAAGCTAAAGCCTTTGGCTTTTGCAGCCTAAGACACTTGCATTAGTTCTTCTAAATCTCTGTCCCTTTGGGGAAACATTCATTATCTCCTTATAAAATAAGTACTCAGTGTCTTATAAAAGTTAATTTAAATTTATATGGGCTGTATCAAAGGGAATCCTACACTATCATAAGGAACTTTTAAACAACCAAAACAGCAGTACTGGTCATAGTCTTTGCACAGTGAGTTCCACAAGAGATGGAAAAAAAGCATCTGCCCCCCCCCAACCAAAGAGGAGATTTCTTAGTTGTGTCTTTTGTGTGGTTTGGGTACCAAGGTAGCCTCATAAAAAGAGTTTGGCAACGACCCTTCTGCTTCTATTGTGTGGAATACTGTGAGGAGTATTTGTATTAGCTCTTCTTTGAATTTCTGGCAGAATTCTGCATTGAAGCCATCTGGCCCATGCTTTTTTTTTGGTTGGAAGATTTTTGATGACTGTTTCTATTTCATTAGGGGTTATAGGTCTATTTAGATTGCTTATCTGTTCTTGATTTAATTTTGGCAAGTGATACCTATCGAGAAAATTGTACATTTCTTTTAAATTCTCCAATTTTGTGGAGTATAAGTTTTCAAAGTATGACCTAATGATTCTCCGGATTTCCTCAGTGTCTGTTTTTATATCTCCCTTTTCATTTCTGATTTTTGTTAATTTGCATGTTCTCTGTCTTTTGGTTAGTTTGGGTAAAGGCTTGTCTATCTTGTTGATTTTCTCAAAGAACCAACTCTTTGTTTCATTGATTCTTTGCATTGTTTTCTTTGTTTCTATTTTATTGATTTCAGCCCTCAATTTGATTATTTCCTGGTGTCTACTCCTCCTGTGTGAGTTTGTTTCTTTTTGTTCTAGAGCTTTCAGGTGTGCTGCTAATTCCCTGGTGCCACAGTTCTCCAGTTTCTTTATGTGGACACTTAGAGCTATGAACTTTCCTCTTAGCACTGCTTTCAAGGTGTCCCATAGGTTTGAGTATGTTGTGACTTCATTTTCATTGAATTCTAGAAAGTCTTTAATTTCTTTATTTTTTCCTTGACCCAGGAGTGATGCAATTGAGCATTGTCCAATTTCCATGAGTTTGTAGGCTTCCTGCAATTTGTGTTGTCTAATTCTAACTTTAAACCATGGTGATCAGATAAGATACAGGGGGTTATTCCTTTTGCATTTTTTTTCTGTATCTGTTGAGGTTTGCTTTGTTGCTGAGTATGTGGTTGATTTTAGAGAAGGTTCCAAATGGTGCTGAGAAGAAGGTATATTCTTCTGTGTGTGGATGGAATGTTCTATAGATGTCTGTTAAAACCAACTGAGTCATAACTTCTGTTAGCTCCTTTATTTCTGGTAGTCCTGTCAATGAATCTATTTCCTCTAGTGTATCTTCAACACCTGAGATTCTCTCTTCCCTCTCTTGTATTCTGTTGGTTCTGTTTGCATCTGTAGTTCCTGATTGTTTACCCAGATTTTCTATTTCCAGCATTCCCTCAGTTTGTGTTTTCTTTATTGCCTCTATTTCATTTCTCAAGTCTTGAACTGTTTGAATTCTTTCCTTCACCTGTTTGATTGTTTTTTTTTTTTCTTGGTTTTCCTTGCTTTCTATAAGAGATTTGTTGCTTTCTTGCAGTTTTTGGTTTGTCTTTCCCTCCATTTCTTCCATTTTTTGTTTGCCTTTTCTTCCATTTCTTTAAGGGATTTTTTCCAAGCCCTCTTTAAGGGCCTCTATTATCTTCATAAAGTTGTTTTTAAGGTCATTTTCTTCTGCTTCATCTGCATTGGGATGTTCAGGTCTTGCTGATGTAGAAGCCTTAGACTCTGGTGCTGCCGTATCAGTCTTTCTGTTGTTGACTGTGTTCTTATACTGTTGTCTTCCCATCTCTTCTTCCAGTGGGTGCAGGTAGGCCTCTCAAGTGGGTGTGGAGCCAAAGCCCCGATGGTGGCAAATGCTGAATTGTTTGAACTGCCAGCAAGTCTCTGGGGATTTGGTGGGCAGGATGGGGTCAAGGGCCTCCAATGGGGGTATGGGGGAGTGAGGGGATGGGGGTTGGTAGGGAGGACAGGAGAAGACCCAGTACTCACCTCTTCTGGTGGGTGGGGGGCCAAGGTTCTGATGGCAGATCCCAAAGAGGAGATTTCATCAAGTAAAACATTGTATCAAATATTCCCTTTTTCTGGAGAGAAAGGGAATTTTCAGGTAACTAACTAGCCAGCATCAGTGCAGCCAAACTTCAGGACATAAACTCTCAGGTTTTATTTCCCACCTCAGACTTGTTTCTGTTTCTTCTGAGGACAAACCCACATAGACCTCAGAAGTGCTGGATGCGCTCATCTTCAATAATATCAACAGCTAAATGTGCCAAGTAACTAAATATTTCTAAATATATTCAGATTTGAAAATCTGTCCAATCTATTTAGTATTTTGCTAGGTATATGCCTAAGTGATAAAAATAATGCTAATCTTGATTTTAGAAAAACCTCCAACTGAGGATGATATCTCCTCCCATTAATTATATTTTTGTTATCACTGCTTGTTTATTTAGAACCCCATCACAAAACCAGATCTGGATCATGGTTGCTCACAGACTTGACATGATTCAAAAGTTTCTTCCATAGTGGTTTTACCAACTTTTCCTCTTTCTCAAACACCACCTTCCTGCCTATGACTCAGTCTCATTTCTATCAGATCCAAGGAATAAGCTTTCCTAGTAATGGGGAGACCTGAAATAATGTTTAGAATAACATTTGGCCTTCACAAGTGCAAACTGTGATGTTGGAGGAGGACCTTTGACCTAAACATCCCAGAAAGAAGTTACTTGTACACTGAACATTTGGCGGTTCTCAACCTGTGGGCCATGACCCCTTTGGCAAACCTCTGTCTCCAAAAATATTCATAACAGTAGCAAAATTACAGTTTGAATTAGCAAGAAAAATAACACAACATGAGGAGCTGTGTTAAAGGGTCAAAGTGTTAGGAAGGGTGAGAGCCACTGTACTAATTAGAACTTCAGTGGTTGTGGAGTAGTTGGGATGTTGAAGATCTAGAGCCAGATTGTTTCCAACTGTCTTTAGATCCTTTCATAGCCATTAATTGCCCACCTCTGTGTCTGACCTAACATTTGTGACTATCACAGGAGGTCTTTGGGGATGTATTAAGCTAACAACTTCCACTAACCAAACCAACAAGCAAACTATGTCATTGGGCAGCAGCATCTGAGGCCTACGTGTAGCAAAGCTTCCCCACTCTGCAGTGATGGTTAACACCAACTGCCAACTTGACGAGATATAGAACTGCCCAGAAGATGCCTATGGGGATTATCCTCGGTTAGGCTGAGGTGGTAAGACCAACCTACTACCTACAAAGAGGAGAGCGAGCAGAACGGCACACTTTGCTCTTGCTTCTTCTTGACTCTGGATTCAATGACCAGCTGCTTCAAGCTCCTGCTTCCCTACTATGATATGACTAAGTGGCCTTAAGTTGTCAGGGTATTTTATCACAGCAACTGGAGAAGTAATGCACCTGCCTACCTGAGGTACCTACTGAGGAATTTGAAAAGTCTGTTGATCTGTTACTTTCTTTGTTCTGTTAATGTAAAAACTGTTAACCACATTAGAACATGGAATTTGGGGCAACCTAAATTATCTAACTAGACCATGGTCACTCATATTTGGTAGTCCTGGCTAGTTTGGAGCTTTTTTATTTATTTACTTATTTTTGGTTTTTATGAGACAGGGTTTCTCTGTATTGTTTTGAGGCTGTTAGTCCAGCCTGGCCTCGAACTCACAGAGATCCACCTGCCTCTGCCTCCTGAGTGCTGGGATTGAAGGTGTGCGCCACCACCGCCCGGCTTAGTCTAGAACTTTTTTTTTTGGTTTTTACAAGACAGGGTTTCTCTGTATTGTTTTGGAGGCTATCGGTCCAGCCTGGCCTCGAACTCACAGAGATCTGCCTGCCTCTGCCTCCCGAGTGCTGGGATTGAAGGCGTGCGCCACCACCGCCTGGCCCAGAATTTCTTTTTAATAAAAGGATTTACTTTAAGTGTGTCTCTGTATATGATGAGTGTCTTGGTATAGGCATGAAAATGCCATGACATGAATATGGAAGTCCGAGGACAAGTTTTGGAGTCAGTTCTCCCTGTCCAGTGGTTTTACTTGAGCTTGTAAAGTCAAACTGTTACACTGCAGTTAATTTGCCACTGTGATGGTTAGTGCTCTTGTCAATTTGATATAATCTAGAATCATTTGGGATGGGCTCCTCATGGAACAACTCTATATCTTAGGTTGGCCCGTAGGCAGGACCGTGTGGGATTTTCTAAATTGGGTCAATTGGGGTAGAAAGACCTATTGTGTACGTAAGTCGAACCATTTTATGGCTGGATTTGTACTTAACTGAATGAAAAGTACATAGAGTACGACCATGCAGGAACGGATTTGAAAATGGACATTGGCCGGGCGTTGGTGGCACACACCTTTAATCCCAGCACTCGGGAGGCAGGGGCAGGTGGATCTCTGTGAGTTCGAGGCCAGCCTGGTCTACTGAGTTAGCTCCATGACAGCCAGAGCATTACCCAAAGAAACCGTCTCCAATCCCATCCCCCCAAACCAACAACAACAAAACCCCCAAAACTAAAATCAGACAACAAAATGGACACTGAAATAAGTTAAGGGACCATTTCAGAGAAAACTAACCAAGCAGGCAATCTGTAAACACTCGTGGTTGCTGGGAGGAGGGTGCTGGAGAACAGCATGAAGGAGAGCAAGAAGCAGCATTATGGTTAGGTCACGGAGGCTGCAAGCAGCTTCATGGGTCATGGGGTGTTGTGTAATGGGGAGACACAACACATACATCTGTTCACTCCAAAAGGGGAACCCACAACAGAGTAATGACTACCCCAGTTTCTTGGTGAACTAATAAGGTCTTTTACTAGGGTTACTAACAGAGGGTGGGGGATGGTTACTGATAAGGAGCAGGCTTAACCCAAAAGCAGCTGCTGCTTGGCCAGAAAGCCTACCACATGTGGGTAATGGCTCAATTTACAACTCTGGAGCTTTCTATGTGGCTCACAGGCAACTCTGTAACTCTCTTTTTATTCCACCGTTTGGCCTGTGGAGACTCTTCCACCTCTCAGTAATAGTTTACCCCCCTTTTCACTGTTGGGTAGCAGCTCTCAGTAAGCTTCCAAGTTCCTGTTTACTGATAACACTGTGCTCACCTTCAAAGCTCAAGGGCCTCCCCTCCTCCTTGGTGCAAATGCTTGTTTGGAGGGAATGTTACAGGCTTACCAGAGGGGGCTTCACAGAGGGGATTAGATTGCCCACAACATCAGGGCAAGAATGTGTAGGATATTGGCCAATATTTTAAAAAAGACAGACAAAGACAAGTCATGTGTTGTGTTGGAACTCCTGCTCCCCCTTGCACAAGCTGGAAAACTCCATCGGTTCGACTTTCCCCACCCCCACCTGTGCTGAAAAAACTCTGATAAAAGGAATGACACCCAAGTGCCCACCTAGGAATCTAGGTTTTGACCATATTTGGGCACAGTCCCAGCTCCTGTTGGCACATCATCACCCCATCATCTAAGGTCTATAAAACCTCCCTGCCGCCGGGCGGTGGTGGCGCACGCCTTCAATCCCAGCACTCGGGAGGCAGAGGCAGGCGGATCTCTGTGAGTTCGAGGCCGGGCTCGACCGACAACCAACAAAACAATACAGAGAAACCCTGTCTCGTAAAACCAAAAACAAAAAAAACCTCCTTACCTTAGTCTGGGCGTGTGGCTTCTCTGGCTCCTGTTCTCTGGGACCAGTAAATCCACCCTGGAGGCCACAACCAATAAACCTGCATTCATCTGTTTTTAATCTGGTCTGATCTGGCCTTTTGTGTTGCCAGAAACATATCATCTGCCTTTTTAACTAAACCACAGAAAACAGAGCAGAATTAGTGAAAATCTAAGTAACTGCATTGGGGGAAGGACTTGGGGTATGTGTTTAAGTACTCTATTCATTAAGGAGATAATTATTCCTTCCATCGCCTCGGCACGTCTTAAGGCAAATTAGCTTGGGGGGGTCACATGACTGACAGACTCAGCGGGATTAACTCTAAAGGGAGGGGACATAACACAAAGAGATTATATATTTTGGACCAGATTATGACATGTCTCTATTCACCTAAGGCCAGAGGTAGAATTTAGATTTTATTCATTTGAGCAAGAGTGTTCTAGTTTGATTTTTTTGTTGCGGTTAAAAGCATGTGGGGGAGGAAAGGGTTTATTTGGCCTACTGGTTCATCAAGAAAGAAAACAAGGGCAGGAACTCAGGCAGGAACCTGAAGGCAGGGAGCGATACAGCTGTTGGAGGAATGCTGCTTAGCGGCTGGCATCCCTGGCTCGCTTTCCTGTACAGCCCAGCCAGTGGTTCTCACCAGTGCGTCATGAAGCCTGTGACAAACCTCTATTCTCAAAAATATTTAATTATGGTTCATAACAGTAGCAAAATTGCAGTGATGAAGTGGCGATGAAAATGATTTTATGGTTGGAAGTCACCACAACATCAATCATATTAAAGGGTCAAAGCATTAGGCAGGTTGAGAAACACAGACCCATTGGTTCAGGAATGGCACTGCCCACGGTGGGTTTGGAACTCCCCCACCTCATCAACTAGAAATCAAGAAAATGCCCGACAGACATGGCCACAGGCCAATCAACTCCTTAATTGAGGTTTCCTCTTCCTGGGTGTATTATGTTGACAACTGAAGCTATTACAGAGGAAGCAGCTTGTCCCTAATGGGCCACAGCCAAAACAAAGCCCTGGGAGTTCCACCTTTCCATATGGTGTTTTAAATTTCAAGGGGGAAACACAAGGCTTCCTGGTCTACACTGACCTAGTAGTAGCCGAGTGGTCAATTCCTACCTCTATCAATTACACATAATTAGTGATTCCTTCGAGACAGAATTTCCAAACCCACTAAAGGTTTGCGATAGAGAGAACAAAAAAGATTGAAAAATAACAAAACAAACAAACCACATTAAAACTGCCTGCCCCAGCAATGGCAGTCTTTTTTTTTTTTTTTTTTTTTTTGAGACAGGTTTTTCTCTGTATTTGGAGCCTGTGCTGGCACTCGCTCTGTAGACCAAGCTGACCTTGAACTCACAGAGATCCACCTGCCTCTGCCTCCCAAGTGCTGGGACTAAGGGCGTGAGCCAACAACGAACGCTTAGAAATGGCCGCCTTAAGGCTTCTGGAATTACATTTTGATGTTTCATGGGTTCTCAGGATCATGTCCCCTACCCTACCCCTTCCCGAAAAAGAATAACCTAGTCTCTGGTTTTCAGGACTTTCTGATCCAGTCAAGGGAGGATTCCCAATGCCACTTCAAACCGAGACCCAACAAGGGCACCAAAGGAACTGTGATTAGCAGAAAAGCACTTTGACCTGTAAAACATATCCTTTTGAAAGTGGTAGGTCAGTCCACAGGTGGGAAGAAACTTGGATTCTTTCTATTTCAGGAGTTTCTCTTGTTTAGATGGTAAAAAAGGACGCCTGTCATTTGCGTACGCACAAAGGCAAAAAAGGCGTGGCGGGGGTGGGGAGAGGGAGGCGGGTGCTTGGGATCCAGGGGCGGGGCTGGAGGGCGGGGCTGGAGGGCGGGGCTGGAGGGGCGGGGCAGTTGGAACCGCCCCTCTACTTCGCGGCAGCTTCCACCCGCTCACTTGGGCGGAGCTTCCTCTACGCCTGACCTCGGAAGGAAGGGGGCGGGCCCCTCTGGGGCGGAAGTCGCAATGCATTGTGGGCTCGCCGGGAACCTCGGAGTCGAACCTGAATGAAAGTGGCGCGCCGCTGAGGAGCCGGGTGGGGCAGCTGGCGCTGGGCTTCGGGCCGCTTGCTCCTGAGCGGTCGGCTAGGTGGCGGTGTGCGGCGCCGACATGGCTTACAACAAGATCCCGCCGCGGTGGCTGAACTGTCCGCGCCGCGGCCAGCCGGTGGCAGGTACCCGGGAGGGGGCTGCGGGCGGGTTCGAATCCCACTGCTCCGGCCGGGCCTGGGCACCGCGCGCCCGGCGGCGGCCAGTCCCGGCTCCCGCAAGGCTGGGGAGCGAGGACGGGAGGTGGACGGGGGGCCTCCGCAGCTGAAATCTGCGAGCCCCTCTCTGTGGTAGCTTTGAGCCTGGGTCTCGCTGTCCTGGCGAGACTTGTTCTCCGAAAGAGGACAGAAGCGGCGGGAGTCCTGAGACCGAGGAAAGCTTGAAGAGAACGAGGCTGGGAAGCGGGGGCACTTTTGGCTTTTAATTGGCTTGTGTGGAACGCTCTCTTCCTGAGTTTGACAGAGTAGCCCCATCCTCGGACTTCAGAACTTTTCTTTCTGTCTTCCATTACCTGGGATTATAGGCCCGTGCCGCTGCCTGGCCGAGGGACAGCGACTTCAGCGTGTACAGTGGGATACGTTTGGACCACACACATATCCCAGGGAACACACTTGACACAGCTGAGACACAGTTCTCTGACTTTGTGGGGATCCTGCAGATGGTAGCTTGAAGGGACCAGATTCCACAGGTACCAGCAGCAAGGTTAGATAGCAGTTTAGAACTTCTGTCGACTGGACCTAGGAGCCAAAAGCTTTTTGTTTTTTATGATAAAATTGAGGAAGGAATGCATGAACTGTTTATGCTGGGTTTACTCTGTTTTAGAATACTCATCGGAAAGTTGTTTGCAGATCTTCATGGTTAAGCCTCCGTTTCGGAGTTCTCAGTGAAACTTTGACGTTTCCTTTCCCTTTTTCTAGATATTTATTATTATTATTATTTGTTTTGTTCGAGACAGGGTTTCTCTGTGGCTTTGGAGGCTGTCCTGGAACTGAGTCTTGTAGACTAGGTTGGCCTCGAACTCACAGAGATCCGCCTGCCTCTGCCTCCCCAGTGCTGGGATTAAAGGCGTGCGCCTCGACCGCCCCACCTTCCTAGCTATTTGAATACCATCCAAAATACAACGAGCGATGGCTTTCCACTGAGGAGGTGGTGCCTGTACTTGGGATTTTTCTCTGAGAAGCCCATACCCTTGCTTTCTGGTTGTCATTCTTCTGAGCGACTCTTCACTCTGAGCTAAAATCTTTTAAAATAGCTTTATGAAACTACAACTGTGCTTCAGAACAAAACAAACACAAAGCAGGCAAGTTTTAGGATGTCACATATGTGGACATTTCAGTATATATCTAGAAAGACTACAGTTTTGTTTTGGGTCACGATGTGGTGGTAACAGTATCTTTTCTGGCACCATCTGGCATTTGTAATTCAATTTAGTTTCCTGCTGCCCCCAACTCTTACTTTGTTTATGTCACTGTGCTTAAGATGTGTGGAAAAGACAGCCAAACTCTTGTACCCCATTTGGGGCAATTCTAGTTGACACCAATTATGTGATGACAAATAAAGGGGAAAAGAGCTCTGGTGCTTCGAGTTTCTCCAGCACAGGTGGCCGCCACGTCTATAGTGATGGTCAAGTGAAATGACCAGCTTTTAAACGTAAGCTTCAGGGCTCGAGAGTTTTCTCAGTGCTGCTGCTCTTCCAGAGGACACAAGTTCGGTTCTCAGTGCCCACAAAGAGTGACTCACAACCACTTGTAATTCCAGTTCCAGGGCATCTGATACCCTCTTTGGGCTTCTTGCAGTACCTGCACACATGTGGTACTCATATAACCACACACACACATACACTTAAACAGAAATAAACCTTTAAAAAAGTGAGTCTAAACATAAAGCCCATATACATGTAAAACTCAAGCTCTTGGTGTATTTTTCCATTTAGTTTACATAAAACATCTTCATTTTTATAGATACACAGTTTTTTTCCCCTCATGTAACCTACCATGTAGCTGCTTATAGACTCAACATGTAGACACAGGAAAAATAGTATGACAGCTCCTGCATAATAATTTCTCTATACTGTTGTGTGAAGCTTCTGCAGACCTTTTGTTCCCAGACAACTATTGATCTGCTTTCTGTCATCAATGACATGCATTTTCTTATAAATGGCAAACATCATGTACTCATTATGTGTGTATGTATAGGTGGCCTTGAACTATGGCCTATGTAGTTTGAGGATGATCTTTAACGCCTGACCCTCCTGCTTCTGTTTCCCAAATGTTGGGAACAGATATAGAGAGAGTTTGAGTTGGTAGAATAGTTACTTAACATTTGTCAACTCCATTGTGTAGCTTGTCTTTTTATTTTAACAGTTTACATTTGCTGGGTATTGTGCTACAGACCTTTAGTGCCAGTACTAGGGAGGCAGAGGCAGGTGAATCTTGTGAATTTGATGCTGCCTGGTCCAGATGGTGAGTTCCAGGCTGCCCAGGGATGCATGAGACCCAGTCTTAAAAAAATAGAAAAAGAAAAAGTGAAAGTTTAAAATTTTAACTAACTTGCAACTTATTAGTTTTTGTGTTTTGAGACAGGGTTTCCCTGTTATTAAAATGTCTAGGTTTACCCAGTAACGAGACACACACTGTGACTCAACGATCCCACGTGGAGTTTTATTGGTAGACAGGGAAGGAAAGGGGGGGGGTGAGAGGTAACCAACCCGTGCAGAGCTGAGAGAGAGAGAGATACGATGGGGGGGGTGGGAAAGAGAGAGGGAGAGAGGAAGGAGATGAGATGGAGAGGAAGACGAGAGTATAAGAGCGGCAGGGGTCAGTCCTTTAAAGGGGTCCTTTGCACCTGCGTGGTTCTCACAGAACTCTGGGCTGGCCAGAGTGCTGCCTGAGTGTATCCTGCCAGGTAACAGGGCAGACCAGCGTAATGCCTGACCCTTTCATTCCCCTGGATGGCCTTTAATTCACAGAGATCTGCTTGCCTCTACCTCCCAAGTGCCAATTGCTGGATTAAAGACTTCCTTTTTTTTTTTTAAATGATTGAGAGATTTTATGTGTACATAATATCAGACATATTTTACAGTATTACCTAATATATGAAAGTGTTAGAAGCACAGATATCATGATGATTCTATTTTGTGATGGTTTTTTAATATTTTATATGATATCCTCAATTAATAAAGCCATATAAACAATTGATAAAAGTGATTTGAAAGATTTTAAATAGAGACTATGGCAGATGTGTGTGATCCCAGCATTTGCAAGGCTAAGGAAGGAAGATTGGTGTGAGTTTAAGGCCAGCCTGGGATATACAGTATCCTAATAAGACTGTTGGAAAAAAAAATAGGTAGCATGCACCTATAATTTTAGCATTTAGAAGACTGAGGTAGGAATGTCAAAAGTTTGAGGCCATTCTGAGTTACATAGGGAGACCCTGTCTCAAAAATTAAAAAAATTTTTTTAAAAGCTCTGTCCATTGAATAAAAAAAAAAAGAAAGCTAATTAAAGCAAGTTGTAGTGTGAGAAAATAAAAAAGCAACCCTTTTTATTCTCACCATACTTATATATATATTTTCAGTTGTAATGATAGTCCTATTGTCTTTAATCAAGTTAATTATTCTATTCTGAGTCGTTTGAGAAATACTTATAGTCATGGTGGCACCCAACTTTAAGTCTAGCACTGGGGAGGCAGAGGCAGGCGGATCTCTGTGAGTTAAACACAGGTGGATCTCTGAGTTTGAGGCCAGGCAGGTCTACAGAGTGAGTTCCAGTATAGCTAGAGTTATACAGAGAAACTGTCTCAACCCCTGTCCCCCACACAAAAATAAAGGAACAGTTATTTACTTAGTAATGTTGGGGATTGAACTTAAAACCTCACACACACTAGGCAATTGTACCACTCACCTGTGTCCCCATCCTTTATTTATTTGTGTGTCTTATGTGTGTTTTGTTGTTGTTGTTGTTTTTTGTTTTTTTTGTAGTCCAGACAAACTTTGAATTTGTGATTATTTATATAGATATATATGTATGTATGTATGTATATGAAAGACAAGGTAGTGCTTGTGACCCAGGCTGTCCCATTTTAAAATCATCTTTTTAGGAATTGATTAGTTAATTGATAAATTAATTACTGTGTGTGTGCATGACATGTATGTGGGGTATGTGTGTGCCATGGTGTCTATAAGGAGAGGTCAAAGAACAACTTTGTTGAGTCAGTTCTTTCCTCCCATCTTTATATGGGATCCAGGAATTGAACTCAGTTCTCTAGGGTTGCTCAACAAGTATCTTTACATGCAGAGCCATCTCTAGCCCTAAATCTTCTTTTAAAAGTATTTTAAAGGGGCTGGAGAGATGGCCCAGTGGTTAAGAGCACCTCTGCTCTTCCAGAGGGCCTGGGTTCAGTTTCCAGCACTCACATGGCACCTCATAACTGTCTGTAATTTCAAGATCTGACATACTTAGATATACATGTAGGCAAAATACTAATGCCCATAAATTTATTTTTTAAAAATTATTTTTTTTTTGAGACAGGGTTTCTCTGTATTGTCCTGGAACTTGCTCTGTAGACCAGGCTGGTCTCAAAGTCACAGAGATCTGCCTGCCTCTGCCTCCCGAGTGCTGGGATTAAAGACGTGCACCACCAACGCCCGGCTTAAAAATATTATTCTTTCACAGTTCCATATATGTATGTAATGTATGTTGACCATGTCCCTCCTCCCATTCATATATGTATGTAATGTATGTTGACCGTGTCCCCTCTCCCATTCCTTC